GTGTTTTCAAAATTTTACACTTACACCTTTTCTGACCATTTTTTGATCAATCTCTAGTTATCTTCCGGCGAAGAGAAGATATTGGTGCATATTTTTCAAATCACATGGGGAACAAAGCTCATTTCGTATTTTTCATTTATTTATTTTTTTCCTTTTTCTTAACTCTTTTTTTCATCTCTTTGATTCCTTTTTTAAAAAGTTTTTTAAAATTTATTTTTATAATATTTTAAAAAACTTGTAAAAAGTTCATTAAAGTTTTTTATAATATTTTAAAAAAGGAAACATTACCCAAAATAATCCCAACTTTACCCGGTTTTTCAAAAATAATTCCATCTTTCACTGTGATGCATAATAATCCCAACTTTATTGAAATTTGCTAATTTTGGGTCGCCGTTAAGTTTCTAACGGAGGGTTAACGGAAATGTCCGTTTTAGACAACAAAATGAAAGTTGAGATTATTTTTGATGAATTTTTATTTTTTAATTTTTTTTTAAATTTTTATTTAAATTTTTTGAATTACTTTCAACCTCCATTTCTTTTTCTTTTTTAAAGATTATTCTTACCTTAGAAAAAAATAGATATAAAAATAATGAAAATGACAAAAATAACTAAAACAGTACAAATTAATCAAATAAATAATGTAATCAATAGAAATTAAACAGAAACTGGTAAGAAATAAAATAAATATATACGGAGTGGTGGGTTTTAACATTTTACATACTATACGAAGTCTTAATATACGGAGTGGTGGGTCTTAAAAATAGTTACATTTCTCATTTTTTTCATTTTTTATATTTATTATTTTTATTTTTTAAACTAAGACTAATCTTTAAAAAAGGAAAAAGAAATGATTATGGAGGTAGAAAGTAATTTAAAAAATTTAAATAAAAAATGAAAAAAATGAAAATTCATCAAAAATAATCACAACTTTCATTTTGTTGCCCAAAACGGGCATTTCCGTTAACCCTCCGTTAGAAACTTAACGGCGACCCAAAATTGGCAAATTTCAGTAAAGTTGGAATTATTATGCATCACAGTGAAAGGTGAGATTATTTTTGAAAGACCATGTAAAGTTGGGATTATTTTGGGTAATTTTTTCCTTTAAAAAATTCAAAATTGTTTTTGTTTCAAATAAAAATTAAAGAATTAACATATACTTCATCTATCTCTATCTAAAGATTTTCAGTTTTTTGTTTAATAGAATAAAAATGGGAAGTTCAAAAAAATCCGGAATAAAAAAAAAGAAAAACCAAATGATAAAAGCAAAACTTACCAAAAATATTCTTATAAGAAAAACTCCACGTCTAAAAAAGTCCAATAATAATATTTCCATTGTGCGTTATAGGTTTTATTGATATTTTATTAAATATTTTTTCCTCCACATTGAATAAGCAACATAATTTTTTTCTTAAAAACACAACTATATTAGTAATTTGGAAGTTGACATGTACATATGCAGATAATGTGTTTTTCTTATTTTTTATTTAATACTTTAAAACACAAATGTACATATAAAAAAATTAAAGGCTACGCTCTATGTGGTCTAGATCTTGCATAGTTTTAAAAACCGGACCGGACCCCCGGGTAGAACCGGTCCGGTTCCACCGGTGACAATTTTTTTTTGCACAAATGCTTCAAAAATTGTTAGTAGCGGGTTTCGAACACACAACCTACTGCCCACTAGCTCGGCTATCTACATACTTACAAATATTTGTTATATATTATAGAGCGTAGCCTTTAATTTGTTATATATTACATACTTACATTATTTGTTATATATTACATACTTACAAATAAACAAATATACATATTCTCAAAAGACTTTTTTTATGTTTAAAAATTCTAAAAATATAATGTTGAAACTATGATTCAAACTCTAAAATATTGATGCAATGGATTCTAATATGAACTTCATATCATAAAACTATTAACTCATTTAAATATTTTAAAAATATTGTGTAAATTATAAAATAAAAAATTTAAGCTCTCTTATTTTATAATTTTTTATTTATTTAAATAAATAACTATATATATATATATATATATATATATATATATATATATATATTGAATTTTCAAATATGCGTGAACCACTGGTTCGACCACTTGAACCACCGGTCCGACCAGTAAACCAGTGAACCAGTACCTTAACCAGTTTGGTCCCCGGTCCGGTTCTGAAAACTATGAGATCTTGACCACAACAATCATTAATTTAAAAAATAAAAATTTTGGTTTAAATTTTGTTGGGATCTCTAATTTTAAAGAGACCCTCCAAGTGTATACCACTATTTGCATCAAACACGGTATTCTTTAGTAAAAGGCGAAAGAATAGTTCGCTTTGTGTTCAATGCGTGGTTGCATAACTTCTAATACAACAAATCGCTTCTTATATAGATACCTACATGGGTTAGTGCTTCTTGATTTTCTAATGTGGGAACTTTTTTTTTTGAAAAGCCAACAATTTGGGAACTACTCCGTATTAAACCCCCACAACCTCATTTTTTAACATCCCATCTGTGCTTAGAGACGTAAACTCGTTTCCATAATGCAAAGAGACACAACAAAGGGCATATTTGAAAAAAAGAATCAATTATTTGAGAAGATTGTCTTATGACCATGTTTAATTTTACCATTTTTTAAAGTTAATTTACAAAACCAAAATGTTATCCAAGCTGTTGCTTATGCAAAAAGTCATTTTTAAACAAGGTCAAGAACTTTTGCATGTAGAGGGCGAAGCTTTTCATTTTAGTCCCTAATTAGTAAGTTACAATGCAATATTTTTATAATTAATATATTTATTTATCTATGAATATATAGTATGAAAATAAAATATTTCATAACTATGTTTCGAAATGAATTTATTGATATCAAGTTTGTATAAAAATTTAATATATTTTTGTCGTAATATGTGGTCAAAGTTAAAAAGTTTGACCATGAAGATCAAATTTAGAAGTTAATTTTAGGATTGATGGAGTATTTTTTGTTCATACATATATTTGAGTCTTCATTTGAAACATGGACAATCTAATTCAGAAAAAAATTGATTGTTAATTGAATAATATGTCATGCGAGTCAATTGAAAATGTTATAAACTACAATAATCTTGAATCTTGAATATAACAAACCACACAATAGACAATGTTTTAAGTTTTAACACATCAAAATGCAACATTTCTCATTCATAGTTTCAACTATCAAAATGATTCAAAAGAATCATTTTTTTACCCATCATTAATTCAAAAAATAAAAAATTTGATTTAAAATTTATTGGGATCTCTAGTTTAAAAAAGATCCTCCAAAAATAAGTGTATACCACTATTTACGATTAACACACGGTATTCTTTAGTAAAAGGCAAAAGAATAGTTCGCTTTGTGTTCAACGTGTGGTTGCATAACTTCTATGCAAAACAAATTGCTTCTTATAAAGATACTCACACGTGTTAGTGTTTCTCTAGTTTCCAATGTGGGAACTTTTTTTAAAGTCTGATATGGAACTATTAAAGTATTTGGAAAAGATTCAACATTTTAAAAAATTACTCGTATCTAATTACAATGTTTAATTTTAGTATTTTTTAAACTTAGTTTAATCTACACCACCAAAATATTATAAAAAAAAAACCTCAAGAACTTTTGCATTTACGGCTTGTAAAAAATTGGGCAAATACGTATTCAATCTTATCATTAAAGTTTACAAATAATTTTTTTTAGTGCACAAATTAGTCTTTTTTTTTCATACTCCTTACATTTGAATCTTAATTTGAAACATAGACCATCTAATTTTTTAAAAAATGGATTGTTACTTGAATATGTCATGCAATTCAAGTCATTTGAAAACTTCATATAGGCTACAATATAATCATCTTGATCTAGGTAACATAATTCTTCTTAAAAAACAGTTGGGGGCACTTAATCCTCGAATTGGTGATTTTAAGTCTAATGAAAAAATGAGCATTTTAATTTGTGACAAAAGAATAAATTTTATTGATATTTTATTAAATATGTTTACAACCACGCAAAAAAAATCCAATCTTAAAACATTTGTTCATTTTAACTTTTTCAACCAAATTAATTAGATAATTATTGATTATCAATTAAATTTGAAATGTATTAAAGTAAATACTAGTAATAAAATAGTTGTTTGAATAAGTAACAAATTTTTATCTATTTATTGACCAAGTTCATAAGACTAGTGCATTATCCTAAAAAATACTCCGTAAATGAGTAATTTTGAAGTAAACAAGTGCATCTACGGAGTATATGTTTTTTTAGTTTTTATTTAGCGCATTAAAACACACACACTTATACTTTTTTCTCCGATCCGAGTAAAATTTTAACACTTTCGCACTCGATGCGCATCCACGCTCATGGTAATCTAGATCTTGACCATAACAAACCACACCTTAAATATTGTTTTAATCCATCCATTATCATCTTTTAATTCTTAGTTCCAACTATCAATCACATTAGTTCAAAAGGAATCATTTTTGTACCCATCATTTAACACAAAATAAAAAATTTGGATTAAAATTTGTTGGAGTCTCTTGTTTAAGAGATTCTCCAAAAATAAGTATATACCACTTTTTACATCAAACACACGGTATTCTTTAGTAAAAGGCGAAAGAATAATTCACTTTGTGTTCAATGTGTAGTTGCATATCTTTGCTCAAACAAATCCCTTCTTATATAGGTACCCACATGGGTTAGTGCTTCTTGAGTTTCCGATGTGGGAACTTTCATTTTGAAAGGTCTGATATGGGAACCATTTGGCAACAGACACTACAAAGGGCATATTTGGCAACAGATTTAACATTTTGAAAAGATTATCTAATGACAACATTTAATTTTAGTATTTTTTAAAGTTAATCTACACCGCCAATATATTATCCAATGGCATTGTTTCCAAACAAGGTCAAGAACTTTTGCATTTAGAGCTGGTAAAAAACTTGGGCAAATGATGAAAAGCCACAGCTAAGGTTAGATGGTCATGGAGGCGCCACTATAGAGGGCGAAGCTATTCATTTGAGTCCCTAATTAGTAAGTTACATTACCCCACAGACACATGTATTATGTATATATATATATCCTACAAACCTAGTCCAAATTGAACTGGTGCATGCTAGTTTTCTAGCTTTTTTATCCATATATGGACTGAATGATCACTTCCATGGGGGGCAAGTGGAAGCAGGGGCAAGAATGGAATTAGCCAGTTCATCGTTCAGCTCAACCGGGAGAGGCGGCATCCGAGATATGAAGCTCTGTTGCTCATTTAGCCTGCATTGCAACACAGATCAGACAATGTAAGTGATAGAAATAACATTGATTTTATGAAGTTGTTGTTAAAGCATCCCACATTGAAGAATTAGAAAAGGATTGAACTAGTAATAGTAAGATCCTGAGATGAACTATACTTACTCGCTTAATATGTTGAAGAGATTATTGCGAGCATAACGCAAGAGAACAATATTGTCTTGTATCTGCAAGAAATTAAACGGCATTTAAGAAAAACAAAAAATAGGATGGTTTTGGGACGGGTTGAAAAGAAAAATGTTAAGAATATTCAAGAAGAGAGGGGACATATAGTCAAGAACATATATAATCTCTCCTTTTAAAAACTGCCTATAAGGAGTGACAAGAAAGTGTAAAGCAGGTTCATTTGAAAGGACTGTGGAGAAAAAAGGAAACAGCTTGAGAGAAATGAAATGAAAGACATGCCTGATTTGAGGTGAGATTTGCAGAGATCTGATCAAAGACCCTAGAGTTATGGTGCAGAAGCTGTACAGTGGCTACACACAAAGTCCAAAGCCAACCCTTTAATTTTTTTTTAAGTACAAAAAAAACAGAGTTTGAATACACAATTCATCAGAAACTGCGACGAACAATTCATCATCGTCATCCCATATTTTGTATCATAACTAGATATGCGTTATTAAAAGTGTAAGTTCTTGGACCATACTTTTAGAACTCATGTAGTAATATATGGTTGATATTTAATGTCACATACCATTGAAAAAGAGTGAACTTCCATTGTTGTTATTGGTAGCGGTTCGTTGGGAAGCATAAGGAGAAAATCCAGCTTTGCTTACTATGTTAGAATTTGCTGCTGGTGCAGCATTGTCAATGGCCCTTTCCTAAAAGAGAAGAAAAACACAATTGAAGGATTCAACCAACAGTACTTATTGATTAAACAAGCCTCAAGTTGTGTATATATACATATTTTAAAAGTACATTTTGAGCCATTCAATCTGTGGAATTAATAATGTTCAGATTCATAGCAGCCTCATCACAGCTAACCTTTTTGTCCTCTTTCTTTTTCTTTGCCTTCTCCCTTTGCTACACAACAAAGGACAAATAAACAACATCTCAATCAGCCTTGTTTCCTTAACAAAGCTATTGAAGAGAAGAGTCTAAAGCCCAAGAGACCGGCTTAATGGGCCTGCTCGGCTCCGATCCTACGATTTGCCCAATCACTTGGCTTTGAAGGCCTCGTGTCTTAAGCTCTTAGCTTATCGGACACCGGTTGAGGTCTTCCGTGTGGGCTTTGCCAAACATCTATTCCAATTCTACCCCTGATCTATGGCCTCAAGTCAAGATGTACCTTAATTTTACCAGCTCAAGAATAAAAGTGATTGAGACTAGCTACTTACGGACATCCATCGGCAGCGCATTGCCACGTCACGCACAGTCTTGTTATTCAACTGCAATGAAATTCTTGCATAGAGACCTATGTTTGTTGTATTATAAGCTGCATATCTGCAGCATTTAATTAAGCGTTGCGGCATTAAACGAGTTAACCTTCATATACTATATCATATCAAAAACAAGGAAGCTAGCTAAGAAAGATGCAAAACAAGAAAAAAAAACATGAAATTCAGTTTGTACTTGGCAAGGCAGTGTTCCAGCACAGCCTGCTCTTCATCACTCCAATCCATATCAATCTGCTTCTTGTTCACGGATATCATCCCAGGAGCGACAAACCCGCCCGAACCCAAACCCGAGCCCGAGCCCAGAGAATGATCCACTACACCAGCACCACACATCATCCTCCCATTGGTCATACCAGCATCCATTCTTGATTGATTCTTCACATCCCAATTAAAGACTCGGTTTTTTCCATATATACCCAAACCAGCTAAGAACCCTTTGTTCTATTGGCCTATATACAACTGGTGTAAGCAAAGCAAAGCAACCTTTTTCAAGAATGACAGAAACTAAGGTACCAATTCAAGAAATTAAAGCACCGTTCTTTCTAGAAACCGGAGGGGTAAAAAGGGGATAAACAAGTTTTAAAAAAAGGCAGCTGACAGATCAAAACCCAAAACAAAATTGGGTCTTGAAATCAAATAATCAATATAAAGAAGTTAAAGAAGCTTAATTGGAATGATTGTTTGTTGGGTTCTTTCTTGGAGGCGGGGGTTATGAATAATCAATGGAAAAAAAAAGGGAGGGAATATAGCTTTATTTGTGAAAAACGAAATGAAAAGGAAATCTGGGTAGGAGTTAACGCGTGTGTATATAAATGTATAATACTCCGTAATGTTTATGTTGTATATACGGTTTGCGGACCGTACGTAGGTACGGCGCATATTATTGGAAGTACGGTGTATATACGCTTGAGAATAACGGCCCCGTTTGGCATCAGCGTCAGAGATTAGCGTCAGCGTTTTGAAAAAGCTATCCGACGGTAGCCTTTAGTGTTAGCGTTTTCAGAATTAATCTGCACTGTTAAAATTTTATCCAAAACGCTAACGCTAATCGAAAACGCTGTTCCCAAACAAAGCCAACATTGTTACAGTGCGTATATATGGTGGTGTACGTATATACGATTTAGAATACTCCCTGCTTTTCAACTCTTCTAAGATAATATTTTATTTTATCATATGATCAACAAAAACATGCAAACAAAAGCTATCAAGATATTAGAATATCAAATGTGACAAAATCTTAGGACGGGTGGAGTAGTATCATTGCAATAGCATGTGTAGGATACAAAAGGTAAAGTGTATGTGAATAGTGTTAACGATATACAGGGTGCACTACTTTGTGTAGAAATAAAGTTAGTGAAGAAACAAAAATTACTTACCCATATTTGATTATATACTTCGAATCACGCATAAATCTTCAAGTATTCTAAATTTAATTTATAGCAAATTAAAAGTTTTACAAAAATAGATGCATAATGACTATATTATTCATTTATTTGGACAAATTATATATCTATATATAAAAATATATTCCGTATAAAGAAAGAAGATACGGAGTATAATATAACCATGTAGTTAAAAATTGTGATTAGAATTTTGGGACGTGAGAGTATGTCACATTTGCTAATATTGTAACCCAATTGACAAGTTTGACACAAATTAAGTTATATATATTCATAATTATTTTCCTTCCGTCTCAAAATTAATTTCTTATTTCTAATGTCAAAAACAAAATTAAAGTGAGCTTTCACTTCACATCACTTCTCGTGTGAGGGAAGAAAACAAAAGGTGGTGGGCTAGTGGCTCTATAATCTCTATGCATTCTCTATTTTTAATTTTTTTTTCTAAGCTCTCAATTTGCCTAAGTAATAAAATGGTACAATTAGAATATATCATGCATTTTGAACGGGTACGAATCTTCTAATATAAAAACATCAACAAGTAAAGAAATGAAAAGCCATACATTGACGTGACACATTTCAACTAATAGAAATCAATTCAGTAAGCGTGTGACAAGTGAGTGGACTGACATCCCGAAAGTCCGAAACAGTGGCAAGTCATTATTTTTGTTACCTTTTACACTTTTTTTACATATTTTAATTATTAAAAATTATTTTACTTGTCTTTTTCTCATAAAAATATATGCACTTTTAAAAAATCTTATTTTATCTACCCAAAAATAAATAAAAAAATTAGAGAAAGCTAAGATGCCTCACGCATGGCATGGTTGGCGTGGAAGAATGGCTTGGCCACGAGAGGGAGAGATTTTGTTGCGATGATGTGGCAGGGCGTGGCAGAGGTTTTACGCGCCACTGCTTTTGTTCTAAAGTACTACTCCGTAATTTTTAAAAAGTTTTTATAATAAATGTTTATCAATCACATAAGAAGATTCATTTACTCTGAGGTACTCCCTCCGTCCGGAAATATTCTTCCCGTGTTGACTTGGCATGCTTATTAAGGAATAGTAAAAAAAATGCAAATTTTTCAAAAATGCACATACTATAAACTTTTAAATCTCTTTTTATTATTAAAAAAGTACTAAAAAAGTATATTTGTGATAAAATAGAAGGGTATTATTGATATTTATCCTTAAAAAGTATACTAAAAAAGGAAATGGGAAGAATATTTCCGGACAGACTAAAAAGGAAAGTGGGAAGAATATTTTCGGACAGAGGGAGTACATCTTAAATACTACTCGTAAAAATACACATAAGAACTCAGTTTATTCTAACTCTTGTTTTTTCAGGTTTGCAAGTTAAGTCTTGTGGAGGGGTACATTATTTTTTTGGCACATAGGAGTTAGTTTTGCACTTATTAATTCACTATTGGTTCTTTTATCCCTTTTCCATCTCTAGTTAGCTTTCCAAGTTCTCAACAGCTCACAGACTTCAACCAAAAACCAATGTGCGACTTAATAATTGTACCAGGTTTAAACATTGTGAGGGAATATTTCAATTATATGAGGCACTTTGACACCCGGCCACCAAATCCCTCTATACTCTTTTGTACTACTCGTAGTAAATAATTTACTCTTTAGTAAATTATTTAAGAAAAAAAAAAAAGTTGAACAATGAAACGAAGAAAGAGATATTTTGGAGTGGAAGCTGACGCAGTGGCAGCTTTCCAACCCCACACACTTTTTTTGCAAAGCTTATTGAGTTTAATTTGTTACAGTTTATAAAAAAAAAAAAAAGATGATGCACTGCCAATCACAGGTTTACCCTCTTGTGACCCATATTAATTTCTTTAATAAAGAAATGTTTGAGTATATTTTGGAAGAGTCTAAAAATGAAAATGTAACTTTCTTTCAGGGACGGAGGGCAATAATTAACTCTTGTTCTAAAAGGTGAAATCGCTCACCCCGGCCCCCACTCGTGTCAGATAGGATTGTGAGAGGAAGTAAATCATGATGACTCAACCGGCAACAAAAGTTGGGACCAGTGCTCACTGCATACAAGGCACCTCCCACATTTTTTGAGAGGTTGCTCACACACTGCCTCTCGTGAGACTCAATTCTTGATCTCTTGTTCCAAATTCCACCTCTGAGACCAGTTGAGCTGCCCATGCGGGCGGAGGGCATTAACTCATTAAGGGAGGAATGAACTTTTTTAGGAACAATAAAGAAAGTAGAATCAAATGGTGTCATGGTTCCAACAAATGTTACATTCTCCACCACTTGTTGGATCACTGTACTATACTCCCCAAGAGGGCAGACCAGATGCCTTTGTGCCCCTACTCTTAAGCTCCATAAGCAGAAATTTAAAATAAAAAGAAGAAAGTGTCCAATAAAAAGCATCCACAAATTGATTTCACAGAAAAAGAGGGGACAGCCCAATAAACAATACCCTTGAAAAAGATGCATGCATCACTTCCCTTTTTTTGACAGACACAGTTCAAGAACAAACAAACGCGTTGGTGTAAAAATCCACTCTTGGGGTGCGTTTGGTTGGAGGAGAGCTAAAGAGAAAGGGAAAGAAGGCTTTTAGAAATCTTCTAAACCTCATCCTTCCTTTTCTTTCCATCCCTTACCTCTAACCAAACATACCCTTAATCTGCAAAGACAGCCTCAAATTCTTCAAGTGTTTTACTCAACAATTTTCTCTTTTTTTTTCCCACTGGAAATCAAAATTGCTATTACACAGGCAAACCGAATAGGCGAAGACAAGTATCTGGCGGCAGGCAGGAAAGGATTGTGAGTGAGAGCAATGAATCGATGGACGCTTGTTGCTTAGGGACCTGTTTGTGGAGAGAATCAATACCCCTTAGACAATCTGTGTTTCATAAAAGGAATTTACTTTGACCATAAAGAGTACATTCATGCAGCGTTAGACTGAATATTATGATATGAGAAGTTTCTCAAGCGATTGCAATCCTGGGATTTCACCCCCCCCCCCCCCCGGGGTTTAGGGTGCAAACACTTTTCCTTGCCAATCTTGGGCTTACATCACAAAAATGTTCTACAAATTTCTATATTTCTGTAACATCTTTGAATGAATCATGACTCTATTTATTGATAATTTGATATATATGTTCAGATTTGGCCAGCCAAAGAGGAAGCCAAAACCATAGAGTTCTATGTTTGGACACAAAGCACATGCAACAAAGAAATGGTCCACATTCATGATAAATTATACTCTCTCCGTCTCCAAACTAACTTGACACATGCATAATGATGTTTGACTGAATTTATTTTCAATTCATTTTGTTTAAGTAGTATAAAAATTAAAAACAAAGTTTATACGGAGTATATCTAGAAACTACATCAAATGCTCAACAAAGAAGTGACATGACTGTTTTTTTCAAACGATCAATGAAATTATGCAAGAAAAGTTAAACGTTTGTCTAGGAATTGTAAAGTTAATTTGGAAACGGTGGGGGTATTTGGCTAACAGGAAGAAGATTCTGTGTTTGGCTATTCAAGAGTTTGGACACAACACATCATTCATTAACTTGGATAGAAAGGTCATAAACTATTCGAGGACAACAAATACACTAAAATTAGAGTACTTCAGTCATGAAACAAAAATGGACATCTGCAGATTACCCAGGAGAAGAGTGGTGATTGGCTTTCAGTGCCTAAAAGAGGGATCATCTCAATCGTCTAGTAGCACTTTTCACTTGTGAATATCCAACATCAACTCAACTTGGATTATAATCAAGATGACTTTTTGCCTTTGCCCTCAATCTTCATTTTGATGAGCTACCGGGCTTCTGCTCTTGATAAGCTGTTTTTAAGGGATGAGAGCAATCACAACACACAAAACAAGATGAAAATTGTCTCCAAGGAAAAATTATATTATCACTATATATTTACATGAACTCTAAACTTGTTTGCTTAAGTGAACCCTGAATACCCAAAAACAACTATTATCAACAATGAGTTGCTTAAAATTTCCAAATATTCACAAGTTTCAAACGCATACTGTAACCTCTATTAAGTACCAAGTGAAATATTATACAACGTATATTTATATGCATGCATCCATGTGTGGGTGGATGATTAGTTGAAAAGATGCAAAATCAAATTACCAAATTAGGCATAAACTGACCTTGTGAAAATACTTCTTTCGCAGTTTGATGGCTGTTCTAACACATCTCTTCACCCGAATCTTTAACATATTATCATTGAAAATCTGAAAGTATTCAATGTTTATGGTTCAAAAGCTGCTTAGAACAAACTATTACTAGTTCCGAGATATGAGCAATAAATTGACTATCCACAAGTGCATGGCCTTGTTTCAGGTGGAATATTTTCCCTCTACTGGGGAACAAAGACCAGTTCAGGAAAAGAAATGGATGGGATAAATAAATATGGTAAAGCAAACTTAAAAGAACTAAGATGGACCTGCCTTTATCATGTCATCAATGGAACGAGTTTCTTTAATTATCTTTTGGCGGTTCATAACTAGGATAGACGCCACACAGAAAACTGGCAGTTCGTCATCACTACTCCAAATCGATGACACAGCTGTTCCATTCTGAATGTGATCGTTTTTTGACCATAAATTTCGAGCCAAACCACAAAAGGGCTGAACCAAAGTTGACTTCAATCCAGTGTTCTCAGAAATGGTATGTTCTGCATTTCCATTTTTGGAGGGTGACTCATTTGAGTCTTTACTTTTATTGTCAAAACTTTCTTCGCCTATCTCCACATCAGACTCTTTCACAGTGTGGATTACCAATAGTTCTGGGCAGTTCTCATTTAGATCAAAAGGCACAGTTTTCTTGAAATCAGCAGCCCACATCATCTGCAAGGTGGATGTAGTAAACTACCACACAAGCTTGAAAGGTAGTAAAAGTTATTGTAAATATGATTTGAATATTACGTATCTGCACTTTTTCTAGGTGCATAACCTTTAAGAGAGACTTCTTCGTATTGACAATAATACTGAAAGCAACAATAGAAGTAATACCAGTATTCCTAGAAAGTTACAGACAAAGGGTGTATGTGGTTTGCATTTGTAGGGATGATTATGCTGATTTTGGAATCACAATCACCACACTCAGTCTATTTGGTTTCTATTTTGATCCAAATGAGATGGGTGATCCCATTTTCCAAAAATGAAATTTTAAAAATTACCCTCCCCCATGATCCTACAAGAAACCAGTGGGGTCCACACTAGATTTCGGAAATCAGCTCCTGCCATTACTAGCACCCAATTCTAGTGATTTCCAAAAATCGCATCAACCTCTTTTTGAGAATGCAAACCAAACCACCAATTGGTATATGAGCTATGTAGATCATAACACACTATAAAAGTCATTTCCAAGTGAGCTTTTGGTAAATGGGAGAATATTATTTCCCAACTCTGTTGGGGTCGGATCAAGATGCATGCAACCTTAACCCTTTAAAAGTAGAGAGGTTGTTTCCTTTACACCCTTGATGCATTGTTGCATTTACTACCCAAAATTTCATAGAAAGCAAGAAACAAGGGAAGTATAATGAGCCATTTTGATTTATTCCATTATATTACCTGAAGCTGAAACACTCCCAAAAATAACTGTCTATAGCAAGGTTCTTGAAAATTGTAATAGAATATATGTATGTATGTATGTATACATGAATGTGTGTGTATGTATGTGTGTGTGTGTGTGTGTATAATCTTGAAAATCACATATATGTCACAATGGTATTAAAGAAAAAATGGCCCCGTACTAAAATGTTTTCTCTTCGATAACCAACACATGGAACTTACGTCCGCCTAAACAAGTGTCATGTTTTGCTAACACTTGATCAGTATTACAAACAGAACTCTTTTTTGGAACGGAGGGAGTAACAAGTGTGGTATGTGCTTATTTTGAAGTTGCTACATCTTTCAATAAATGCAAGTGCTAGGGGCTAGTGTGCTACACCCAACCCTCAACAGAGATTTGAGAATCAACGCACTGCCACTTCATCTGCTATTTTTTATGCGGCAAGAAAAGAACCTACTTTTCACACTTTCCAATGCCATTTACAAAATGAACAGTTAAGTGTAAACAAAATGGAGGTGGTGCAAATATGTACTCAGGCAGAGCAAACAAAAAATGAAGTGAAAAAGGGTGAGAACTAGTTCATGCGTGCACTCAATCTCTCTTTGCTTAAATGCATTAAGATGCTGGTTATGTTCTCAACATGCAAATGATGCAATGATGCATATACACAATCATCTGTTTTAGCATGAATGGGCAATCTATGTTTATCAGTGTTATGACATGCCAGTTTGACACAACAGCTAACACTCTAAAAAACAGTAATAACACAAACCTCCCACAAACAAAGAGCGTCATCAAAAGATAACTCCCGACGAAAGAGTACCAAAAGCATCCGAAATGCAAAATGGAGGCTCTCAGCACCTATGTTTGACAGGTGTGAAAACATTTCTTTGTCAGTAAATTCTAAGATTTGCCATAGTGCTTGCAACTGCTTCATGACACCAGTTGGGCCTTCAATCTGAAAATTTTCACGCTAGAGAAGAGGAAAAATAAAAAGAAGACTTCAGTTCTAAAGAACATTGAAAGAAGAACAAATGAAATCTCAACAAAGTATCAGTTTCGGATATACCATTCTACGTAAAAGCATTTCAAAGCACCAAAAAGCATCAGCATCATCCTCAAAAAGAACAATGAAGGGAGACAGTAAATCACTCATTCCTGTAGAAAAGTTGGGGTAAGAGATGTACATCTAATTCCTCCGACCCACAAAAAGGTTCCATAATGGAATCTGCATGGTTATTACAGAAGGTGATATTGTGTGGTTGAAAGTGGTGCAAAGGAGAGATAATATGAGCCACAAAAATTTCTCCACAGATAGAAAGTGGAACCTTTTTGGGGACAAAAAAAAAAGAAAAGTGAAACTTTTTTATTGGACATAGGGAGTATAGCAATTAACTTTTACATCTGTCCCAAAATCATCTTTACACCTTCCTTTTAAAAAAGACTTGTGTGGTTCACATTTTTTGTTTAACATAATTCCAATTCCTTAAACACCTTAACAAAAGAAACTATGAAGATGAATTTGGGATGGATGGAGTATGACTTAGTGGAAAAGATCAATGGGAACAAAAGGCACAACCTTGGCAATATCCTGTTGCAGGATCAACCCAGGCATAAACCGCAAGTATGTCTGACATCCTAGCCAAATTTTTAGCATCGCCATAAAATTCAAGATGACTGTCTGTTCTTACTACATCGACAACTAAACACCACAAAGTTGAAACACTCTTCAAACACATTAGACTTTAAGGTATAAAAAAGCAAATCAACTGACCATTTCTAATATTCAGGGGAAAGCAGAGAAAATAGGTAGTTACTAATTTACCTATTCGATGAAGTGTCCATAGCCATTCAGACACTCTATCTTCCCTGAGAGAACCTTCTTCAGTTGAAGTCACATTAGTATTTTCCATATCAGGTGCTTCAGAAAGTACAGTTCTGTCATAGATATCAATTTCATGTCCCCCCATGTTAGACGGTGAAAGAGGACCAGACACATCAGGACAAACTCTTTCAGTTCCAAAGTTCTGTGAATGCAATGTATCATAAGATTGGGTGGCATTTGATTCAATAACTATATCAGCATTGTTCTTTATGCTGAAGCTGTGCATACGTTCATCTCTAAACTGCAATTTACGCCGTATATATCTAGTATCATGTAACCTACGCACTTTCCTATTTTTGCTATTCTTCTCAAACAAATCTGTCACGGGCAAAGGAGGGAAGTCAAAATCATTTCCAGCAACAGATTCCGATTCCTGTGCTTCTGAATCAAATGTGGGGGAACTGCAGTTAAACGGACCAGGATCAGGCAACGAACAGAAAGAGTCACATGCTGCACCATCTGTGCTTCTCCTCACACTTACAAGGTCACCAGGATCACTAGAGATCTCCCTGTGATACGCATTTGATGTATCTACACAACTTTTGTCATCAGAGTTTCTAGTATGAGCACAGGAAACTCGTGCATTTTCAGCTAGGGTTTCCCTTCTTCCATCACCTTTGGAACTGGTTCTCATATCCAAAACTTTAGACCCTACAACATAAGCAAGAGAACCAGTCCCAACACTGGAATGCATCGATTGACACTGCTTTATAAGATCCTTGTACCTTTCCCTGCATAAACATAATATAGGTTTGCTATATCAAATTGTTCAATCGAAGGTTTAATAGAATTTCTTCATACCACAGTACCTCCACAAATAAGTAAATCAGTAAATGCAGTCATATTTATTTACAAATTTCACCATTTTTTGGCTTTGGGGTGTGATGGAATAAATCAAAATGGATCTCTAAACTATCTGCTCTTCTTTAATTAATGAAGTAGCAGTTAGTCAAGCAATGCAACTTTCGACGTTGAGCCGGGGGTCTCTTTGGAAACAGCCTCTCTACTTTAGATTCAATTTGCCTCATAACTTTTCATTTATGAGAAATAAAGCTGGAAAAAATGTCTCTAAACATTAATACATCTCATTCACATCAAAACTTGAGGACAAGAAAGTGGTGTTCTAAAATATTCAAATCCCCCTCACTTTTAGTTTAATTCTTAAAGAAACCTGTTCATCTAACCATCACATTCTACTTGCTACTGTTAGTTCCAAGGTGTTGTCTAATCTTTTGGCAAAATAGAAACCCTTATTTGTTAGGAGTTTTACTAGGTAGAAACTTCTATTTATATTTCAGCTATATGCTGGTCATTGAGATCCTAAGACTACATGGCATCATTGTTATTCAATGAGAATACTTGGAACTACCACTGGTTGCAGCAGTAAACATCATAGTGTTTAATTCTCATAAGAAATACAAAAAGTATTTGCATGCTCCCAGCCCCGCCCTGCCCCCATCATGGAGCAACCCTGGATAGCATTGAGTCCATCACATGTTCCCATAACAAAAATGTATCAAGAAAATGAAGAAACAATTCAAAGTCTGTCCAAATTCAGATTTAATAACGCTCCTTAACATTTACACTTGGGTGCCAACTGCCAACAACAACCCAGTAGAAGCCCACAAGAAGTAAGGTCTGGGAGGGTAAGTGGACGCACACCTTACCCCTACTCAAAAGTAGGGAGGCTGTTTCCAAGGGACTCCTGGCCCAAAAAGAATGGCAAAAAGAACAGATTTGCATCTGAAATTTGACCACACTTCTACATAAAAGTCAGTTCCTAAAATGTTTATACAGATCAATAAAGTTGATAACAATGATTGTCATAACCAAGATTACTGAGAAAACCACAAATTGCAGACTGGAAGGGAGTTACCTCCTAGCAGTTCTCAGTTGTCTTCGATACTCCTCTGTGCTGCTTACAGCATAACAACCTAAAAGAAATTCCCAAACTTCTGGTCTTATAGATGGATCAACACCCTATCGTGCAAGAAGCAAAGGATTTTAGCTCCATCAGGAAGCAACTGAATGAGTAATTGTTTTTACTTTTTACTGCAGCCATGAGTCCATGACTAATAAGTACTAAGGTGTAACCACAATACAAGCCCGGTGTAATCCCAACTCTCTTGGGATTTTGGGGGTCAACATGTACACAACCTTACCCATATAAAAAACAAAGAGGTTGTTTCTCTTAAACCCTGGATGCATTTACCGCCCAACACTTCACCAAAAACTTCATAGAAAGCAAGAAGCAAGGGAAGTTTAATGAGTAAGACCCCGAATACAAAGATACAAAAACCAAGATTTATGAGGTTGTTCAGAATTTCCAATTTCCACACCATACATAGTTTTTTTCATTTTTACCTTTTTGTCTCCTTCCCTATTTTGTCACATACCATATTTAGTAAAGTTTGTGTAGTTGACATTCATTCTTACTTTTTAATATCAATATCAACCATACAACTTCACTTCCAATGTCCGAAAAAACTAGTGGGACAAAGGGAGTAATAATCTAGTATCTTTTACAAAATTCAACAAAGTTGCAAAGAGCCTTACCCCAAAAATGATCAATTTCAAAACCTTTTGAAACCCGTGTATCTTTCCTTCACTATCAAAAGTTGCCTGCCACCTATCTGGCTTGAGCGTTTTGTTTATCTACTCACAGCATAAACAACAAAGATGAACTCCCGCATTTTGAAGTGAGAGAAATCAATAATCAAATATGAGGATAAATACACTGCATGGAAAAGAAATTATAATAAAAAAAATCTCAAATCTTTCTAGATCTCCAAGATATTCTTACTAGCTAGTTACTAGTTACTACTCTCTCTGTCCCACAATAAATTACACTCTTCAATATTCAAAAATTATGAAACCTTTTCTTTATTTGCGTGTTTTCATGGATTATTTGATAAAATAAAATACTCTTGTCGCCTCTTGTTTTGTAGAACTTCTGATATACTTTTAAATATGCAAGTTTTATTTTTTATTTCTATACTAATCTTTAAATAAAATGAATTGAACAAACTTAGCATTTTACTTTGTTTTGCGTAAAGTGTAATTCATTTAGGGACGGAGAGAGAATTAAATCAAGACCGGCGGTAATAAATAATACACTTAGTCATCTGAAATGAACATACCATGCTGACCAAAGAATACTAACTTAATTTACTAAAAATTTATGTTCTGCAGGAGCACATAAAAATGTCTACTACAGTTAGCAACCACATAAAGTATTTTACCATATACATTCTTGTACTTTCGAAGTGTTACTACAACTGGTGGGCAACTTAAGCGACTCAGTATTTTTATTTTCAAAACCATGTGAATTTTTTCTGATATACTTCGTATTAAATTGATACACTGAAGAAGTTCAGATAAAAATCATTAAAGATTTAACAGCTTTGTAAAAAGGAAAAGAGAATTCATCGAGATCACAATACAAATTTCGGAAGAACTACATAGTTCAATACATAATACAGTAAAGCGGGTCGGATAATTTTATGGTGCATTTCTTTTAATGATTTTTATAACATTGTCACGAGGCTCGCCCTTTGGAAAGAAAGATTTAAAAGGGAAATGAAAACCTTTATAGGAGATTGATGGAGACAAGGCTCTCCAATGTCGCGTACAAGTGAGCTCACTCTTTGCAAATTCACGGTGCCTCCCTTTCCACATTTCCATTGCTTGTCGGCCCAGTTGAAAGACATCACCTACGTAGGCTCTATACTTTCCTTTCTACCAGTTCACAGATTCTGAACCCCTGAAATCCAAACATTTATAAGGCAAGCAAGAGTGAAAGTGGGATTTCAACATATATGCTAGTGGGTGCGCAAGAACAAGATTCAAATTTTAAAAATAACAGCACTGTCCTCACGAAAAATCAAAAACTCCAAACTAAACCCCCTTGAACATCACTAAAAAGATCAGAATTGTTGAAAGATTTTAACTTGATTTACAGAAACATCATCTGTCCAGAAGGAATGCTACTAATTCCTACACAAGCAGTATCAGTAAAAGCCAACAATATATCACAGAGCAGTTAGAACCCAATGCTGGCTGGCCCTAAGAACACGCAAAACATCCGATCTTCACGGGAACAAGAAATCATCAGTCCAGATTAATGTCGTAAAACAATAACACCAGGCCAGCAGATTCCGTTTACGGAAACACCAAATCAATTCGAATCAGTTCGAAACTGCTACAGTTATCGATTCACACAAGCAGATTCCGTCTACGGAAATTGCGCTATGCGTGCACGAATACATACATACATACATATTCATTCATGCCTGAGAAAATAAAGAAATGATGAGATATCCGAAGAAGGGAGATCGGAAAAGCGGTGCGTCGCCATTAACTGAGAGAAAGACAGTTTCTTGGTATCACTGTTTACGTTTTTTCGCCTGAAATTTGTTTTTAATTTTACTAATTTAGGCAAGAATATCTTATACTCTTTGACATATTAGTCCGTACCAGAGTTTCATTTGTATTTTGTTGGGATGAATATGATGGAGTTTGGTTTGAAGGGTCGGATCTGAGGGATGAGTGCCCCATCAATCCATCATGAACAAGGGCCGACATTTTGTCTCACAAATTGTCACATGAGAGGAAATCTAAAATTAGGCTCTTGAATTATTTTGAATTGGATAATGCTACATATACCTCATTTTGTACCCCAATGTTTTCCTTTGACATTAAATGTAGGTGCAGAATTGCTAATTTGCCAGTGTTGCACCTACATTAAATGTTAGGTTAAAGCTTTGGGGTACAAATTGGGGTACAAATATGGGGTACATGTAGCATGGTCCTTTTGAATTATTTTTAGAATTTTAGGTAGGAAAAAATTAGGTGTACTACTTTAAGGTGGTGTATTCAAGTTGTACACTACCTTCTCACAGACATCCACTATCCATGTTTCACACAGATACATTCAGAAGGTGCTGTATACTTAGGGTACACCTAGCAAAAACCCATCCGTCATAGAATTATTGTCACATTTTGAATAATGTGTAAAATTATATCTTTTTTAAAATTGTTTAAGTTACAAATCGACATAAAAATAAAAAAAAATACTCCATACAAATTATGTATTTCAAAATCACATTAAAAGTGCTATAAAATAAGTTTGACATAAATATTTTATTTTATCAAGTTATCAACAAAAACGTTAAGATTCCAGAATAGTAATTGTGACAATACATTCAGGATAGAGGGGTTGATTTTTATACTTTGTATCTCATATTATGTCACAAGTTATCTAAAAAATAAGGAGTAATTAATTTTATGGCATGACTCTTGTCACACTGGTCATGATTGACATTGCGATATCACTGCCTTTTTGTATCATCTACGGTGCCTCTTTCACAAAATTGATACTTCCTCCTCTCTTCTTTGCCGATTAGTTTTGAATTCTATTGACTCGATTATAAACTAGAATCTTTTCGTACTTTTTTCGACCTAATGACGTATAAAATGTCATATTCAAATCTGGGTGAACTTTTCCATAAATTTGTAGATTAGTTTCTTACTACTCAAGCCAATAGAGAAGTTCAACTGTAATGTTAGTTTATTAAAAAGTAAGAGTAAAAATAAATTTAAAAAGTTACTTTCTTTCTCTTGCAAAAAGCCTGCAATTTTTTTAAGAAAGAAGTGACTTGCAACTTTTTCTCTCTAGTGAACAATTTTCAATTATAATTTTTTATTTTTTTAACACTTTTTAAATTTGTAAAATTTAAACAAGAAATATTTTATGAAAGGGAGTGTAAAGAAAAAGAAGTGGGACAATACCAAATTTTAAAACTGCATTAATCTTTTTCAATATTTATATTCAAAATGACATTGTCGATAAATCAAAATGTTGGATGAGATGTTTGCTAAATCAACATGAATTAGTATTGTGCCAAGCAAAATGCGGGTTTTAAATTGCTAATAAAAATAGCATTTTGAAAAGAACATTTAATTTGATGTTGGGATTTTAGTTGAGATGACTCTAATGAGAGCACCTACGGCGCCCTATTCGAAGAATTTGGAATATCATTTTTATTTAATCTTTTGACAAAGTTACCAAATTTGACTGAAAAAATAGAAAAATGAACAAATACTCAAAAATGAAGACTAACTATTAACCACTCTCTGCAAACTATTAATTGTATTCTTTACCTCTTGAGTGTGTGTTTGAGTTGTTACTGTGAGGTCATATTACTCAAAAGAAAATAATTTAAAAAGTATTAGACTTGTAGTTGCGCTTACATAAATTTGTAAGGTATCAATGGTTCATTAAACGGCCAACCACAACAATTGAAGCACATATGACTGAACAATGGAAGAAGACATTGAAAAAAACATTACAAGTGTAAAGTCACTACACAAACTCCAATTGAATGACACACTTGCAAAAGGATTCGCTTATTGTTCATCAATGAGCCATTTTTTGGGTGAAAAATGTGGAGTCAACATTTTTGTTGTTGTAAAGAGCTAGGTTTGATTTGTGTGATGAAGTTGAATATATTGGGCACAACAATAAGTTGCGAGAATCTCAAGAACAAATGTGAAAAGTATATCCTAAAGCACAAGAAACGAGTGAGATCAACACATTTTTAAAAAGAGACATTTTATACATGACGCAAACTCATCCATCTAATATTCCACAAAGGTTAACCCAAACAAGACAATGTACACCACATCAACAAGACAACGTTCTACGAACCAAATGCCGACTAATGTACATTACCTTATACTCTGGACACGATTGGCTTCAAGTCTCTGTAGATGAAGACACACTTGTGCACCAACTTGCATCTTTAGACATTCTCTCATTACAGAAAAAGGGGGAAAAAGAAACCTAGGAGAAGTGGGATAGTCAAAAAAAATAAAACAGTAGAGCTATACATACATGAAGAGTAAAAAATATACATGAGATCTTCACAAAGTTCTTCCATCTATGGCTCTCTACTTCGTTCGCACCGGGGCTTGATATCTGAAAACTAAATCTCCTCAGTACAACTTGGAAACTAAAAACAAAAGAATCAACACGGAGAAATGTGGCACATGTGTTCGATAGCCTGCAAGGATGAAATAGTAATTAGTAAGTGAATCAGCTATGGAAATACTCCACCGGTCCCATAGAAAGATTTCACCTTATGGAAATTGATATTGACACTCTAGCAATGAACTCCAAATTTATCATTGAAAGACAAAAATATCCCTTATTACTTTTTCTATTTTGTTTTTTCATGGAGGGTATTTTTGTCCTTCTATGATCAATTTGAAGTGTCATTATCAATTCTCGACTGCCAATATCAATGTCCTTTCGTACTTGATTTGTTGCAAAACAAGGTTTACAATTTCATCTTTCTTGATAACAAACTTATTCCGGAATGGATAAATATTAGACTATCCAACCCAACTGAGATAACTTAAGCAATGACTAACACATACCAGTCTCTGATGATGTTGGTAATGCTGGTAAGGACATTTCTGCAAATTATGTAGTAGAATTCAATATCACAAAGTGATCATATAAGAATGACTAAGATGACAGACATAAATATAAAAATAATAATAATAATTATTATTATTATTATTACTATTATTACAACAATAATAATAACTTATATGGAGTAGAATTCTGCAAAATAAGTTGTAAATCTACTATGTTTATAATAAAAAGTAAAAAAAACAGCAACTTACCGGGTGCACAAAAAGAGAATGCACCAGAGGGTGATGAAGGCCACAGAGCTGCAGTATCATCATTCAAATCGCAGTTAAAGCTGAAACCTGCAGAGTTGTCGTACACCATATCTGTAGGCAAGCTTCGAAGCAAGCACCCTGCGTTATTCATTCCAAGTGCTTGTTTAGTCTACTCATCTAATCTTCTAAAATTTCACTGAGTTCTTTCTTAACAGTTCAGATAGACATTTAATGCACAACGGAGAAAGATTATCTTCTTTCAATTTTTGAGTGCTCGTTAATGTGAACCTAATGTCATAGACTAGTTTAAAATTGAAAAAGGAAATAACAATGAAAGAGATGCAAGTACCTTCTTGTCCACCATAGGCTGCTCCAATGCCAGTACATGGAAATAAAAGACAGCGAAACATTAAATCGAGAATAAGGCTTTTTTTTAAATTATAGAGAGTTAAAGAAACAATATTTATCAATTATCACCTTGAAGGCTGAAATCTTTTAAATCAATATCGCATAGCTCATACACATTTATCATCACCCCAGCCTTCTGTAACATTGATCCCAATACAGTTGCACACATTATAGCCTGTCGATTAGTAATCAACATTTGCTTCTGTATATCAGCAATGTATGAATTTAGTGAGCTACAACATGAAGAGCTGGGAGCTGCTATATTCCGGCATGCTTTTATCACTTCAGATGGCTGCTTGAAATCTAGAGGACAAACTGCAATACGAACACAGAGATATTGAAGAGAGTGACAATGCTCAAAATAACAATATGCCTCCAAATTTAGATAACAAGAATGTAGAGGTTCATCTGTGATGTTTATGGATATTCCATTGGACGTTGGAATTGGTAAATTTGCCAAGTTGTCACCTACTTTCTGTAAAGAACAAAGAGGAAAAATAGAATACCTTTGTTAACTTTGCATGAAGATAGTAACCGAAATATTTTATTTGCGTCTTCGAATGGCAGTTTCCTGGCCAGCCATGAATGCACAACTCCTTTACAATCTGTAAGACTGTCGATCTGGCCAGGCGCTTCTAGTAAATTTTTACTATCAATCACACTTGAGTGATTTGATCTTATCCCATATAGTTGAAGTGAAGCCTCTGAAATTGCACGCTGACAAACTGGCCTGCAGCACTCCTTAAGAGAATCAATTGTGCTGCAGGACTCCAACAATCTACTAGTATTTACTGCCTTCTCAAAAGTAGTTACATCTTTCACAGGGCAAGAACTGCCAGTGAGCTGCAACGAGTTTGCAGAGCACATGGTGGATATGGACCCATTTGCCCCTCTGCTGGCTAGTATACTGACAATATCTTTAAAACAATCTTCAGCAACAGCACTTTGCAAAACTAAGGCATTAGATTTGGAGCTGAAGAACCCCTGAAATATGTGCAGCAAGCTGGAGAATTGCGGGCAGCATATAACATTTCTTACTACTCTTGAGAGAGATGCAGTACAATCAGTAGCTGTTTTTTCTGTAATGTTTGAAATCAAAGAGAAGTCTACTGGGCATCTTCCAGTCAAGATGGGATTATATGTTGTAGGAAAGGACGGGTACATAGGTGACAGAGGTTGATCACGAGGAAACGGATAGTGTGGAATCACAGCCGGTGATATTTCAAAGGGTTCAAACATTACACTGTTGGGTGGGCTAGCTAGTGCAGGAGAATAAGTATGACTTCTTGATCCAGGCAGCATCTGCAGAGTCTCTACATTTAGGTAGCTCACCGACCAGATA